CCCTCCTCCCCCCCAGGCCCGCCTGGACGGCGCCGCGGATCCGCGCCCACGCGCCCGCCGCGCGCATACGTCTGGGAGCCTGTGGTGGACACACGCACACACCGAGCAGCTTGGGGACTACACGTTCGCATCTCCACACACACACACACACACACACACACTGAGGAGCCGGAGCCTGTGGACTACACACCCACGCACAACACACGTCTAGGAGCCTGTGGACGCCACACACAAAATCACGCGCACACAAACCCACATGTCAAGGAGCCTGTGGACTGCGTGGGCGCGCACACACGCACGCACTCTCTCTGAGAGGTCTGTGGACTCCACCTTCACTCCCTTCCCTGCTCGCCTCTCCTCTCCTCGTCCTCCCGGGCACCCAGAGCCTGCCCCACAGCATTCACCCAGCTGCTGGCAGACAAAACAAGCCTCGCAGGCTGGCCCCCGCAGGCCTTTGGGAAACGTGGACCTCGACCCACCAAGCAAAACTGTAAGACCCCTTGGGGATGGGGGCCAGTAGGGGCATATCACTGATTCCTTGGGACAAGCAGAAAACATACCAGGGAGGAGAGTGCGGGTCATAGGTGTATCACAAGGGCATCAGAGGGGGACATGGAGCAGAGCATACTGGACAGTGCCCACTCGCCCTCCAACGAGCCTAAGGAGGCAGTGGACACCCCCTAGTGAAACTCTGCCCAGAGACGTGAACAGACAAGGGACAGGAAAGTGGCCCTGCCATCCTTGGGGGTCTTCCTAGCCAGAGCCTCCTTCCTGGACAGATGCATCATGAGCTTTGCCAGGGCCAGGAGGAGCTTGCCCGGGAGGCCCCAGGGCCGAGGGTGGACTCACCCCCACCCCCTTTTCATTCCTCACAGCTCTGATCTGGGATGTGGGAGGAGGGGGCTAGTGGGCTGCAGGGTAGGGCAGACCCCAGGGCATGGAGGTGGGAAGGTAAAGGCACAGCAAGGTGTCAGCCCACAACCAGAGTCTCCTCAGGCTGCTGCTACTCCTCCATCTTCTACCTCATGCAGCTCCTCCAAAGGAAGGGGTGTTCTGCACACAGAGAGCACATCCGCTGCCTAGTACTAGGCAAAGGGGCCTTCACTGCCATCCAGCTGGACACTAGATTAACTGTAAGTCATACATGTGTAACCCGGACAGTATTCCAAAAGGCACCCCCTCTCCAATTGAAGGGATCAAAGCAGATGCACAAGCGCTGTAGGAGGTGTAGGGACTCTCCTCCCCCTATAGAGCAGAGCCAGACCACCACAGGGGACTTAACCATATACCTTTTAATGAGGGAACAATACTGGGGACATAACAGGCATAATCAGGGGGTATAGTGGACACCACAATGCCCCAAGGGGAAGGATTCAACAAAGGTTAGACACTTACAGTCATTGGCAAAAGACGGGGTTAACAAAATACAAAACACAAACAGCAGAGCAAACAATACTGGTTGGGGAAATATAAAAAGGCACAAAATATAGGGCCTAGGTACATGGAGGCAGAGAAAGGCTCCCTTCTACTGGAAGAGAATTTTCTCCATGTTAGCTCACTTACCCCAAGTCACCAAAGCTAGGATTTGAACTCAGATCTCCCACACAGTAGGCAGGAACTCTGCCACACAGCCACCAACACTGGTGCTGCTTTCAGCTGCTAGGGGTCTTGATCTTCCTGGAGCCCTGGCCTCACATCAAGCTGCCTGGTCTCCGATTGGAGGAGCTGGAAGCCGAGCTGGGAACCCCTCGGGTCACTGCTCAGATCCTCCTGTTGGCCACAGCCTCTCGTAGGGGATCCTGGAGCCCAGCAGGAAGCCTCTCCTGCCAGCCACATGCCGTGCTGCTGGGGGTCCAACTGCTGCCTGCAGGTCCTGCTCCTTCAGGCTCTTCTGGGGCAACTGCTTCCACCCCGCTGGCTCAGCTCTTGCCAGCTCCTTGAAGCGCCTTCCTCATAGTCCCTCACTGGTCTCTCTCTGAGTCAGCCGTGCTGCCCCTTTTATCCCCCTCCAGGTGACCCCAGGGGACATGAGGGGTGAATCTCTGGGGCCTGATTGGTGAGGAAGGGAATCCCAAGTCCTCCAATCATCTTTTACCCCTTCAAAACCCCTGGGCCAAATAATTACCAGATTGGTGAGGAAAGGGAATCCCAAGTCCTCCAATCATTTTTTGCCCTTTCAAAACCTCTGGGCTAGGTCACTGCCAGCTAGCCCGTCACACATGAAAGCAAAAGGATGACCAACACGGCCCTGGTTTTTCTCCCCAGCTTGAACTGAAAAGACACTTGGTTGCCAAATGAAATATACCTAAGCTTATAATAAAGCTACCTCATTTAAATGCATTTGAATCTAGTCCCCACAGGCTCAGAAGGATTTGTGATAATACATCATTTTCCATATGTGGGTCTACTTCAAAAA